GAACTTGAGAAACTCGTCGCTGTTCGTTCCATCATCGGTAAGAACTGCGACATGATTCCGCGCATGGCGGGCTTTGTTCTCCAAATAATGTTGTGGCGAGCGTCCGACGGGTGCGTGCGATTGATGAAGAGAAGAAGGGTTTTGGATGGGTGGAGAACATAGGGCTCGTTGGACACGAAGAATGATAACCAATGTCAGCAACCAGATGATTCATGAACACAAAAGAAGGTATGTACCTAGCGGTTGATGCTTGTTTAACGTACTATACGCATCTGAGCAGAATTCGACGATGGTGACGAATTTGCATCGGGCGACAATCTGCACCGGCGCATCTCTGGCCTCTGCTGCGTCGCTCTGCCTTCGGCGACGCGCTCCTGGCATTGAGTTTAGTGACTCAACACACCGTTGCAGCGCCCCGCAACGTAACATGGACGCATAGACTGGTGTGAAACGACGTGGGCTTCGTCAAGAGTATGGTCAACATAGAACTACAACTCTAGTAATTTTTTAGTCGGGGGACGTCCGCGGCCCGTTGGGATTGAGAGTCTACTTTCGGGCGGCCACGCTTCGCCGCGTCAGTTGCTCTCTGGCGACTTTTGTAACGCCTATATACCGAGCCGTGAGTAAGGAATGTCCTATATGCAGTATCGCACGCACCGCCAGGTGAAGTATCTATAGAGTGTCTCGTAGCTTCTGTCGAGCTCGATGGATAGCTGCGCGAGAGCAGGGCGACGGGGGTACGGATCCTTTTCGAAATGAGCGTCGAGGACTTTTAGCGCGGCATCAGATAGCCGAGCTTTGGTCGGCGCAGATTCTGGCATCTCTGCTGGCCCCTCCGCCTCACGAACTTCCGCTCGCTTTCGCCTGTGATTATTCGGAAGGAGTTGTATGGCAAAGAGAGAACAGTCCGCACCGTCTATTGAACCAATTGTATAATAGGGAATACTCTGTATTCCATGTCTTGGCCAGAGTCTTCAGCACTTCTTTTGTTGGGTATTCTTCCTTCAAGTAGAGCGCTTCCATAGCTTCTTTGCATTCTATAGACATTTTGTGATGCTCAAGTTGCAATTTGCGGCTCTTCTTCTGGTGGCGCCTATTCCAAGCCATGAGTACTGTTCTCTCGGTAGCATGAAGACGCACCGCCTAACGAAATATCTGTAGACTGTCTCGTAAGTTTCGCCGAGCTCCACAGATAACTGCAAAAGAGCCGGACGACGGGGGTGTTGGTCTTTTTTGAAGTAATCATCGAGGACCTCTCGCGAGGCATCAGATAGCCGGTATATGCGAGGCACAAGTCCTGGGTTGTGTTCTGCCACCTCCCCCTCCGGGCCCTCAAGAGTTCTCTCCTGCTTTCGCCTGTGACGATTAAAGAGAAGCTCCGTCGCGAACACAAAGTATTACGCACCGCCGGACAAACCAATTGTACACCGCGGAATACTCTTCATTACAAGCCTCGGCTAAGGTCTCTAGTGCTTCGCGCTTTGGGTACCGTTCCTTCGAGTACACCGCTTCCAATTCTTCACGCAGTGGGTTTCGGGGCGGCGGGTTCGGGCGCCTACGGCTGCACGAGTATTTATTGTCAATTCTCCGTTCAAGTAATGGTGCGCACCGATTTCGAAACCAGAACCAAATCGTGTCATAAGACTCATCGAACTCGACTGCGAGCTGATTGACAGTATCAAAGTCCGGTCTCTGGTTCTGAACAAATAGTTCCTCCAGACGCGCCTTGCAAGCTTCATCAACTCGACTGCCCGGTGACCGATTGCCAATCTCAAGTGGACGATATTTCAAAGACGGACCGCATGACGAAGTCGAGTGTAGCCGCTGGCCGCGGGTGGCGACGAGCTTGAACAAATTGAACATGATCGTTCACTTTGAACACGCCCACGTGGCTTTTGGAGTCGATTTCAGCTGAGGCATCTACGCGGATTACGGTGGCGTAACGTTAAGCGCATTGTAATAGGTTGTATCGAGCCACTTGGCACTACTTAGTACTAAGTTCTGACTGGCGCGCTGCGCACCTGAATTTATTGAAAAACAAAACTTTGCGTAGAATCTTCTCATTTATGAGTCGACCCAGGCTCGAACTGAGGACCTTCTGTGTGTTAGACAGATGCGATAACCAACTACGCCATCGACCCATGCTGTCTAAGTTTTCTGTTTTTTGACTGCATTATTATTTCTATGATTATTTCGGCTACCGGTTCAGCTTATACCCGCAGTACCGGTTCCTTTTCCCCATCATGGACAGATGCAAGTCAAGTGAGCATAGCATGAACTGCTTTCCCCCTTCCATCATGCAGACGGCTCTGGACATGGCGAATGCCCGTAAATGCACATCCATCGATGTCCAACGACACGCGACTTTCTGTGGGGTGTGTATATCTTTTGTAACCGCCGCTCTTTACTAACACGCTCAATAGGTGGCACCGAGGCTTGGCAGAAACGCGAAAAAGATACGCAGCATCTTGGAGCAAGATCCGGTCTTTGACAAGTCCCAGAGGTTTGCGACCAATACGCGTGATACGTTGTTGATTTATATGGCGATCCAGACACTTTCTAGATCGGACAGAGAGCTTCAAACGCGGATTACGTCTCATAAACCGCATCAATGAACTCGCAGAGTCCCTAGGCTGGACCCGGGATGAAGTGAATCTGGCCTTCACCATTCTTGACGATCCTCTTCCAGTTGGACTCCACGACACTGCTTTTGAACCTGTCTTCAACTCTCAAGGTTCTCCCTCCCTCCTTGAGAGATATTCGTCTCTCGCAGCTCACTACGGCATATTTGGATGTTACCTCCAAACCGAATTGGGGCACGGGTCAAATGTCGCAGGCTTGGAGACGACAGCGACGTTCGTACCAGAAACTCAAGAATTTGAGATTCACTCTCCGACGTTGACGAGCAGCAAGTGGTGGATTGGCGCGTTGGGTAGAATTGCCACGCACGGCGTCCTTCAGGCGAAGCTCATCCTGCCTGGTGGGACGGACGCAGGTCCGCATCTGTTCTTTATCCAACTGAGGGATATGGGTTAGTGTCACATATCCAACCGTGTTCCTCGCTTATGCGTGCTGCAGACAATCATCAGTTGCTTCCTGGTATCAGCGCAGGAGATATTGGTTCGTCCGCTCTCCGTCTCCAAAGCGTATATTCACCTTGTAGATACTAGGTCCTAAGGCCATGGCTGGGTACGCGTCTGTCGACAACGGGTACGCTCGATTCAACCATGTACGCATTCCAAAGGACAATATGCTATCAAAGTTTGCCGGTGTCACACCAGACGGCAAATACGTGAGGCCACCTCACGCCAAAATGAGTTATGGTGGCGTACGTTCCCTGTACTGTAGATTGATGCGCAGACACTCATTTCCCCCAGATGTTGTACATTCGAGCAGGGTAAGCTGGGTTAATGCTATCGGGTGCTATCGTACTGAAACGTTGCCAGGATGGTTACTACAGCCGGTTCAATAATAGCGAGAGGTATTTTGTTCAGCGTTATCACTTCTTCGGGCGCTAAACGACGTCAGCTATCACCATTGCTATTCGCTATACTACTGTTCGCCGGCAAGGCGATAAAGGTCCCGATGGACTAGAACGACAAGTGCTCACATACCCTTCGACTTATTATCGGCTGCTTCCCATAATATCGCACGCATATGTTTTCATGTTGATAGGCCGTAACCTCGTTCGTCTGATTACTTTTTACCCGCTGTGATAGGTCGCTGATGCACGATGTAGCGGAATGCATTTGCCGATTATTCTGAGCGTCTTGCCGAAGGGAATACATCCCTTCTTGGAGAAATGCATGCCATCCTGAGCGGACTCAAGTCATACGCTACTACAACTTGCGTGGCTGACATCGAGACCGCTCGCCGGTCGATGGGCGGCCACGGGTTCAGTGCATTCGCTGGCGTTGGCAAGTTGTACGCGGATAACGTCGCAAGTGTAACGTGAGTACTCCTCGTCGCTCTTTCAGTTCCAGTTATAAACGGTTATGTAGATATGAAGGCGAGAACTACGTTCTCGACAAGCAAGTAGTGAGGGCTGTATTGAAGGCCCAGCAGCAGCAACCAACGGCTTCGCCGTCGTTCTCTGGATTTCTCCGGCTTCAACAACCCCCTCTTCTCACGCATACTAGCTGGGAAAATCCAGAGACATTGATTCTTCTGCTGGAGTGGCGCGCTGCGGTCTTTGCCCGAAATATAGACGAAGAGGACGCAGGTGTCGCTCGTCGGCTTTCGATCGCAGTTACCGAAGCATTCATTGCTGTGCAAGTACGTGAGCTGCTGACCACCCGCACCGTGATGAAAAGCCTGTATCTTCTTGTGCGTTGCCGACTGCTTTCTTACGCATATTCTGACCTGCATCGCAGTATCTTCTATCAACGATCGAATCGTCACTCGGCGACTTCTTGGAGTTGGGCATCCTGCGGCCGCTACACGCGAAGGAGATCCGGAAGGCGCTGCGGAGGGTTACAGAAGTGGAAATACTACCGGAGGCTATCGGGCTGACGGATGCCTTTGGGTGGTCAGACTGGGAGTTGGACAGGTGCGGTCTACGCTTGTCTCTTGTGCCGTCCCTAACGAAAGGTTGCTAGTGCACTTGGGGTGCACGATGGACGGGTGTATGAGGCTCTTTGGGAGAGAACAAAGAGTGAGCCTTTAAATAATGGAGAGGACCATCTGTATAAGGTGCGTCCCAGTGTTATACGCATATGATACCTAGCCGTGCTCAACTTTATCTGGCAGGATTATATCAAACCCATATTAGCAAGAGGAAGAAGGCTGGTCAAATTGTGAATATACCATTTGATCACTTTGTATATGCACAGCAGTGTAATGTTAAGCCAAGGATTGTACTGACAGAGTAACATGGTGCAGGACCATTGCGGTGAAGATAAAGTGCACACAAAAACTCAATGGTATGAAATCTCGGTAGAGATTGAACCGAACTGGAGAAATGCTGTAGCGGAAAGGGAGAGCGAGAGGCGCAAATACATGGCAACTTGGCCGAGTGGTCTAAGGCGCTGGAATTAGGTTATCATCCATCCAGTCCTTCGGGGCGTGAGTTCGAACCTCACAGTTGTCATATCGTTTGTAGCAAAATCTTTTTTGGCCTCCTCTAGGGTGGCTAGGGTGGCGCAGTAAACCTCCGGGGGGTGTTAGTAACGGTATTGATACCGATAGGGTTGCGCAGAATATTCCCCCCCGGTTAATAACATGGGCGGGATATACCCCAATTTGTGGGGTGTTATTAACCGTTATTAACAGTTACTAACCTCCACGTGATGCTGTGTGGCGCATTTTCTCGTTCCTGCTCAGTTTTTTGACTCGGATGGTGCAGAAAGGGTCAATTTAGGGTTTCTAGCTTATAAATAGCATTTATTGTGGGTCTTTCACCTGTTCCTGCCTGGTCCCGCCGACACCATGCCCGCCGATCACGTGCCTAAGGGTTATTAACACCCCCCTCCAGCGGGGGTGTTATTAACCCAGTTAACTGGTTAAATATCCAATGGCGCGATATTGGGGGTATCCTGCACAACCCAACTCCTCAATGGAGATTAGGGTGGCGCAGTAAACGTTGAACCGTCGGATTCGGAGTCTGTGTCTGTGTGGCGCAAGCGCCGCGAGCCTCAACTAAGCTGCTCAATTTCAACTGAAATACGCCCTAAGCACAAGCCGTGCCTTCTACAAAGGTTCCCCGCCCCGTTGAGAGTCGACATTTACACGCAAATCTGGAGTTTTTAGAAGAGCTACAGTATGAATAATTGTCAAAGTTGCAACTTTCAAGAGCCCGGGCCTTAAACGATTTCCTGATTGTCCTTGGAAACCCCACTGCCTCCGCCTGACTTGTGGCGGATTTGTTCTTCGCGTACTTCGATTTTGAATAGTTTTGCATTGATTGAATGAATACAGAATAACCATAGAGGAAACTAATAAAGAGAGTGTACAACTTTAGCCAATAGTATTCGTTGTGACACTCGCCCCAAGACTGGAAGACACAGTCACCGACTGTGGGGCGGGACGCAGAGACACGACGACCTGGAAGCGATTGTTGCCTTGGGGTGTCATGGCGATTGTCGCAATGTTGGGATTGGTGGCCTTGGGCTAACGTCAGAGTGCGATCGAGGAAAGGAGAGAAGGAGAGTCACTGACCGACATGAACAAAGTAGAAGAGGCCATGTTGGTCGTCGCGATTACAGTCAACAGTCCGCTTCCTCTGCCGCTCTTCCAGGATACTTCCTCTAGCGTGATCTACAGGATGATATCATGAGCTGGGAGAAGCAAGCGGCGAAAGGAGCAATCGTACCGAGTCAACGACGGCCGAAGGGTTGATGGTGAGGACTACAGTGTCAAAACTTGAGCCTGCAGCGCTGCTCGTCTCGAGTTGGAACACAATCGTCGATAAAGTAGCAACGATTGGCGCGATGAACGTCGGGTTGGCGGTGTCAGCTCCAAAGAGAGTAACGTTCACGCCAGAAACCTGTGTCCAGGCAAAGGTGATGTTTTCAACTATCAAAGCATGTTCAGCAGACGTTCACAATGAACATAAAATCACATACGCGATAACTCATTCTTGATCCCACCGAACAGAGTAACGTTCTGCTGCGACACAACAGTCGTGTCCGGGCCCGCATTAGCGACTGGAACGAGCGGGTCGACAACAGGGCAGTTGATAATAGCAGGACTTCCAACACCCGGCCAGGGATCGAGTTGCCCCACAATCGGGCCCGTCACAGTCTGCGGCACACCCGGAATACCACCCAACCACGGCCCATACCCGTTCGCCAGATGGTTCAACAAATTAAACTCGTGCGGGATCTGCGGGTCGCCGAAGACAATGAGCTCGGGGAAGAGGTACGAGTCGGGCGGGTAGGGTGAGATGAACTGGCCCGCGAGGATCCCGTTCGGGGTGGCGACGGTCGCTTGGGACATGCGCACGCCGACTTCGCGCGTGTAGGGCGAGAGGCCGTTGGTGTCGCCGTTGACGCGGAAGCGCCATTGGCCTTTGCGATCGGTGGGGCGCGGAACGGCTGTTCCCCAGCGACGCTCGGATTCTTCGCCTGTGCAGGGATCGACCTCGACGACGAAGATGGTGATGGTGGAGGATTCGTCGGTGGTGTACCCTTCAACACGGGTCTGTTCTATTTCGCCGGCGGGGTCTGAAAGAAGAGTTAGCCAAAGGAGAAGGGATAAATGAAGTACACCTTACTGCCGTCAATGCCTGCCCGGAGGGCAGTAATCTTGAGATAGGCCGGGCTATTCCCAACCTGTCAGCGCTTCATTCTACTAAAAGCACAGAGATAGCTTACGATGTCCCAGGGGTCGTATAGATACCCAAATTCGCATCGATGGCATACGCCGCCAGAAGTCGTTCGCCGTTCGCATCTGGAACAACTGTTCCACTGTAAATCAGAAAGTCGCCTACTTTGAGGGGTACAAAGAGGTTCGGGTCGGGTTGACCGGCAGCGACGGGCGGAGCAGCGAATGTACTGAAAGAAACATCAATGAGCGTGAGATAATTGTAAGTACAAAGTGGGTATGAAGACTCACAAGCCAGTAAGTGGTTTCCCGGAGCCGTCGACAGGCCGGTTATAGTCAGGGCACAACACATCCAATTCAACAGCGGGATCGACACGAGGAATGCAGACGGGGAATCCGGTGCTCGTAGAGATACTCGGATTGTCGTAATCCGCGGTCCACAAAGGCCAGTCTCCGTGTACCATACCAAATCGGCCCACTACGGAACATGAGAAGCAAATCGAAGAGTGAAAGCAACTTTCACCGACCAGGATCATTGATAACAACCCTATGTCCCGTCGTCAAATCGCCAAACGCGCCATTGATGCGCATTTCGCCTTTTTCATAGTCAATGGCGGTTATGAATCCCTGGTTGGCGTTGAGGATTTCCTGGAAGATGTACACGATACCCGCGATGAATTGTCCGTTGATGTAGTTGGCGTAGACCTGAACGCGTAATCAGTGTGCGCACCAACTGGGCCGAGTTGTATTGTTCACCTCTGTCTCCCAGCTGATCTCTGGCCACAGCGGGAGATTCAACACGCCCTCTTCAGTGAACATCTCACTCCACGCGACGGCGGTTAGAGAGGGAGTGTTGACGAGAAGGTTGCGTGGGATGATGAACTCGACGTGGTCGATGGAGAGGGTCCCGCCAGAGAGAATATCCGACGCATTGTTCAACGTCCCGCTACACGATTATATCAGTCTCATCGCATCTCAAAAGAAGGGAACATACCCAGTGATGAACCCAGTCGTCAAAAACGGCGATGGATCATATGGCAAGGAAGTTATCTGCCCAAGGACAGTAGGAAGGAGCGCGAGTAATGCGCCGAACAAGTGCATCCTGAGAGAGCGACTAGAAGGAAAGTGGAAGAGAACGATCCTAATGCTTTCAGAGCCAACATCGGACGCCTTTTATACAGAAATCCTAGGACAATGGATTTTCCATTGACGACGACCATAGTCTTGGCTGGACGCAAACCTCATGTAACGAAGGAAAGAGGGACCAAGTAGAAGGACGCGTTTTCGCGCGAGCGTCGCGAAATAAAGATTTTACGTCGCATAACGGTCAGAAGTACGCACTCCTATCAAGCCTCATTCAGGTATTACGCATCACTGCGACCGTCGTCTCTTGGCATGGCGCGTTATGTACCGTAATGGACCGGTCTGTGAAGAATCTTGAGCTGAAAGAACACGACTTGTGGAAAGATGATGATGATGGTGCAGTCAAAAGGTGGCCTTAAACTCCGAAGCTCCCGATGTTCGACGCGTGACAAGTTCGTAAATGTCCAGATCATATCCAAAAAGCAACTAACAAATACATCGATAGCTTGTCGTATAGCAAATGAACGAGTACGTGTAAATCCTCCTCCTCCTCCTCCACACTCTCCCAACACCTTGTATATCCACCGGCTCCAAGAAATCGAATCAAAGAAATAATAAGTTACTCTTAAAAACATACTGTCAACTCCTCGTCTGCGACGATGAGCGCATATACCCCGCCGCCCTCACCGGCCCAGAAAACAGCATTACCGGATCGCCACGCCCAGGCACACTCTCACTCGATATATTCCTCGAATGCCGCGAAGAAAATTCCTGCTCTGTACGGGGCGTCAGTGGCGGAGGCGGCGTATACGGCGACTCATTCCGCAATGGCACAAGTATACGCTCGTCCCGCAGCGGCGACGGATGGTAAGGCGGCGATGAAATCGCGGGTATTTCAAGATCGGTGCTATACCCTGAAATGCGCTCACTCGGAATGGGCTGTGGAACGCCAAAGTTAGATGTAGATTGATATTGATGGCGGAGGGCGTCGTTAGATGGCCGACGTATGTAAAGTGGGGACGGGGGGTCTATCAGGAGATTGGGGTTCGGTGAAGATGGTGCCGTGGGGAGCGTATTGCTCGATGCTGCAGCACTGTGATGGATTCCGCTCAGGCCTAGCATGTTATCGTTAGATGCCATCCTAGACACCGGGCGCCGGGGAGAAGCAGGAGCGGTTGGTGTTGAATATGAGGGTGCTAGTCCTCCGAAGCCTTGCATGCTGTCATCAGAAGCCTGCCGTAACCTCGCCGTCGAGCGTGACGGTGAGGTGGGAGGTACTGGAGCCGGACTCTGAGGGGCAGGAGGCACACGAGGACGCTGTCAAGGGAAGCATTAATGGAATCATCGAGTTGGACAAATGCACTCAACACTTACAGATGAATGCGACTTGCTAGCACGCTGTGGAGGTTGCAGCGTCTCCTGTGCTTGCTGCCTATGTGAACTGGGCCCAGTAGTAGTCGGAGTTTCCCCCGATTCAATCGTGAAATTTTGACCGGAACGAGAGATGAGCATCACATCCGCAGGCGAGTCCCGCGATGGGTAGACATCAGTGATGAGACGTTCTCTTTCATGACCTGGGTCGAAATGAGCGGGTCTGACCTCATACTCGGAATCACTATCGCTATTAAGCTCCTCTTCGATCACAGGCTCCGAACGCGTGAGATTAGAGGTTGGAACCTTTGAGGCGTAATTGGCACGAGTAGGATTCCTATAGTTTTGGAGAGTGGAATCACTCCGGTAACG